AGGGTGAAGGAAAAACGCCAAATGTGTTTTTTTGTCACCATTACAAGAGTTAAGTGCTCGCCCCGTAATCGGAAGGTTGCAGGTTCGAGCCCCGCTCAGTCTGTCGCTGTCGTTGTGTCCTTGGGCAAGACACTTAACCCACGTTGCCTGCTGGTGGTGGTCGGAGGGACCGGTGGCGCCAGTGCTCGGCAGTCTCGCCTCTGTCAGCGCGCCCCAGGGCAGCTGTGGCTACATCGTAGCTCATCCCCACCAGTGTGTGAATGGGTGAATGACTGATTGTGTTGTAAAGCTCCTTGAGGGGTTCCAGGACTCTAGAAGGCGCTATATCAAATACAGGCCATTTACCATCCAGGGCTTATTAATGCTGTGTCAGCGCTGTTCTTTTATTCTAAACATGCATGCAAATTACCGGTAATAACGTGTCAGTTCTGTTTTTATTTTATAACCATCCAGAAATATGGATGCTATCAGTGCTGTTTTCTTTTCTAAACTTGCAGGCATGTTCACCCGTGTTTAAAATTCGTTTTGTTGAATTAAAACAACGAAAAACCTCCGTGTAGCATCTTTCTGTCTAATTATCTTATGTTATGGCCATACATGCGCTGTGTGCTGGAGACCTGCATGTGGCTGCTGCGCCGCGGCTTGTATTTGAGTGCGGCGTGTGTGTGTGTGTAGAAAACCTTTTTCTTTGGTGGTGCGGTTTATATTGAGGTGCGCTCTATAGTCCGGAAATGACGGGTAATTAGAAATCTGGTTGTGTCTTTTATTTTGACAGTTGCCTGTTGTTTTACGCTGCACTTGTGGTTGACTTCCCTGATAGATTACGCTACACTTCTGGGACGCATCCAAAATGCTATGCTTTGCGGCCAGTGGAAACCCACCCAGTCAACTATAACAGCGGCTAGTTGCTGCTTACTACGCTTCGAGGATGTTGGACATGAATTCTTCTCAGTTAGTGGCTTTTTTTCAGAGTCTGAACCTCAAAAACACTTTGGGCAGTGAAGCAGGAGGTGGAAAACCAGCAAGCAACCAGTAATTCCATCCTCCAACCAATCATTGACCAACAGCCAATGGCAAATGCAGACCTGTTACGAAAGGAAAGGCTGTCCAACTGGACCAAAAAAAATCAAGTAAGGCTGTTCGAAAAGGGACATTTGTGCTCTCTATTACTCTTCTCCAAGCAACTCTGAAACAGAGAAGTCCTCACCCTATCTCAAAGTTTCATTCTGGACACCAAGAGGAGGAGACTCGTTTTAGCCGCTTGCATCAACAATCTCACAGCCAGGGGAGTAGAATGGAGGGCAGATTGTAAAAGGACCTCACTGTTTAGGACTAGAGCAGCATACAGTGGGATGCTAAAGTTTGGGCAGCTTTGTTGATCTTCATGATTTTCCATTGTTCCACTGTTCATTGTGTGGTTGTTACGATAAACAAATTTCTGTTGAATATATCATGTAGGAGACGCACACAGTTATATTTGAGAAGTGAAACGAGATTAATACGATTTACAGAAAGTGTGCAATAATTAAACAACATTAGGCAGGTGCATACATTTGGGCACCAAAAACATAAATGAACTCACTATTTAGTAGATCCTCCTTTTGCTGCAATAACAGCCTCTAAATGCTTCCTATAGCTTCCAATGAGAGTCTGGATTCTGGCTGAAGGTACTTTGGATAATTCTTCTTTACAAAACATCTCTAGTTCATTCAGGTCTGATGCTTCTGAACACGGACTGCTCTCTTTATCTCACGCCACAGATTTTCAATAAAATTCAGGTCTGGGGACTGAGATGGCCGTTCCAGAACGTTCTACTTGTTCCTCTGCATGAATGACTTATTAGATGTTGAGCAGTGTTTAGAAGAAGAAGAAGAAAATATCTTTTCTATAGCGCCTCTCAAGATAAGTTTAGGGTCAGTGTCTTGTGGAAAGATCCATCCCCGGTGCAGCTTCAGCTTAGTCACTGATTCCTGGACATTGGTCTCCAGAATCTGCTGATATTGAGTGGAATCCATGCGTCCCTCAACTTTAACAAGATTCCCAGTCCCTGCACTGGCCATACAGCCCACATCATGATGGAACCACCACCATGTTTCAATGTAGGTAGCAGGTGTTTTTCTAGGAATGCCGTGTTCTTTTTCCTCCATGCATAACGCCCCTTGTTGTACCCAGATAACTCAGTTTTAGTTTCATCAGTCCACAGCACCTTATTCCAGAAGGAAGCTGGCTTGTCCAGATGTGCTTTAGCGGCTCTGGTTGTGCTGTGGGCGGAGAAAAGTCTTCCTCTGCATCTCTCTCACATGCAGCATCTCCTTGTGTAAGGTGCACCAATAGCTGAACACATTGACTCCATCTGCAGCAAGATGATGTTGTAGGTCTTTGGTGCTGGTCTCTGGGTTGACTCTGACTGTTCTCTCCATTCTTCACTTCTGTTTATCTGAGATTTTTCTTGGTCTGCCACTCGGAGCCTAAACTTGAACTGAGCATGTGGTCTTCCTTTTCCTCAATATGTTCCTAACTGTGGAAAGAGCTGGAATATCTGAGACAGCTTTCTATCTCCTTCCCCTAAACCAGGGGTGTCGAAATCAAATTCACACTGGGCCAAAACGAAAAACTGGGATGAAGTCGTGGTCTTAAAATCTGCATATATTCAGCATTTCTTCTTATTTTTTTATCTTTTGAATCTTTTAAGTGTTTCTATTTTATATTCTTGTTTATTCTTTTTTACTCTCCTTTGTTGCTCCTGTAATGAATGTTATTGCTGCTGTGACACCAAGCTTTCCCCACTGAGGGACAATAAAGGGATTCTCTATTTTATTTCTATTCTATTTTTCTATCTGAAATCTGTCCTGTTTTAAAGTAGGTGAAATCGTTTTTCACAGGCCAACTACATAAAAATAATAATTCTCTTAAATAAAAATGCAATATCTCACCTTTTATCTTTTATGCTTTGGAGCAGAAAAGGTTAATAAAACCTAAATAACTCAATGCCAGTTTTCTCCACTCTGTTCATCAGTGAGAAACAGTTGCTCACACAGGTTTGTGCTGCTGGACATGGAGAGCATCTGGACCACGCAGTTGTGTCGGGGAGGGGGATCAAAGCCGCAGCAGCCACAGAGTCATACTGATACAGCAAACAAGATTACTGAGCTGTTAAAATCCATTTCTGGGCTTCAAAGTCGGCTAACTGCTGAGTAAACTTGGCACTGAGTAGGAGGAGTGTTCTCAGTTTGTCCGAGGCAGAGGAGGTAACGCTGCAGACGCTGATGCTAGTAGCATGGACGCTAAGTATCAACATGTTCCATCTTTGTTGAAACACCCTTCCTTCTACCAATCTTTCTCTTCCTGGACATGTTGGGATGGTGTGTGGACGGTTATTTTCACTTGTTGCATTAATTAAACACGGAAGTGGATACACTCTGACCTAGTGGCAGTCACTGCACTGGGAACACAATCGCCATGCATTATGGGAAATGTAGTTTACAGCCAATGAGTGCTTTAAAGCAGCATAGACCTATTTTAAGACACTTGAATCTCTCGCGGGCCTTGTGTCTGACACATGTGCCCTGAACCATGATGGTGAACAATCTTTGTTTTCAGCTCATGTGAGAGTTGTTCTCAGACCTCTATGTTGCTACTTTTCAGAGAATATTTAAAGAGGAGGGAAGTGTACAATTTGCCCCCTTAAATACTCTTTCTCATAATTTGATTCACCTATGTATGGAGGTCAAGGGTCACTGAGCTTACCAAACCAATTTTGAGTTCTAATAATTAATTCTAAAGGTTTGGGAATCAATTATTGCACACTTTCTGTAAATCTTATAAACATCATTTCGCTTCTCAAATATCACTGTGAGTCTCCTATATGATATATTTGACTGAAGTTTTTTTTATCACAACAACCAACGATTTACACAGGAAAATCATGAAGATGAACAAGGCTGCCCAAACTTTCACATTCCGCTGTAGAGAAGGTCTTGTTTTATGCTTTGGCAAATTGGCCCCTTAACATGATGAAGGGCTTTCAGTGCCACCTTGATCCTGGGAGTCGTTCTGTCATTGAACACTGGCATCTGGTAGAGTCTCCAGTTGTAGATTAGTCTTAATGGTATTGTGAGAGATCTGTGTTTCTGTAGCATTACAAAGGGGAAGATGAGTAGAGCTGGTACCTGGATTCTCACACGTCCACAACGGAGTGCCTTTGGCGTTGATTTTTTTACAGTGAGTTACCTTTTCCCCTCTGCAGTCGGACTCATGAATGACGATCGTAGAACTGCCCACTCCAGTCGCTTTGTTCCAGTCACCTGGCCCTGTGTTGTGTCTGCATGACTGAGCTTCTCATCCTATCTCTAAGGGAGGGACCAGCCACCCTGCGGAGAAAACTCATTTCTACCGCCTGTATCCACGACCTCATTCTTTCGGTCCATTGCCTCCCTGTATTATTATTATTATTATTATTATTATATTGTGCTTATTTCTTATAGCATTTTTTTTTGCACCAAGTACCGCAGCAATTTCCTGGTCCTGCAATTTCTCACAGATATGGCAATAAAACCCATCTGATTCTGATTGTCTCTACAGGAGGAAGGTTCTAACTGTTGTTCAGCGGTTGCAATGGACGTTTTGACCAACAGGGTGTAAAAAATGGTCATGATCATTTTCTTTTCCCCTGTCATTTTCATTTCTAAAATAATGATAAATAAACATTCATCACAGCAGTAGCTCAGGAGGTAGAGCGGGTTGTCCAGTAATCGGAAGGTTGCAGGTTCGGGCTCCCGTAGAAGGAAACACGGCGTCTAACTATGTGACGTCGCCCAGAGACTTAGACCTGATTTTTATGGTTGTATGTTACGAAGCCGCCAATACTTTTAACAACTGGGCATCACTTAATTCATTTTCAACATGGATATTTCTAGAGATTAACGGTGAATCTGCTCATTGTTACTTTAAGCACCATGACACCGTTTTTACATTTGTTGGCTTGTATGTCTCTTTAACAGAGAGAGAGGTTTCTGCGACACAGCGACACTGGCCCTGGCCCTTCATGTGACTGGCCCTCAGGAGACCCCAACACTTCCCCTACTGGTGCCAGATCCCTTAAAGAAAGTGGCAGTGCCTGCTCCAGACCAAGAGCTTGGAGTGTCCGCACCTTTCAGGACTTCTTTCCTCCTCTGCCACAGCTCCACAAGAAGTGGTGTAGCTGGAACTCCACCAGTCCATTCACCAAGCTGGTCGATAGTGTCAGTACTTGAATCTTTAACATGTTTTAAACTCTGGTCCATTTACATGGAAAGAAAGAGTTGTTTTTAAAAAATAAAATGTGTTAACTCTTATTGAGTAGAAGTGTAGCCAGAAGATTTGCTAGTCTAAAGCAGAAACTGGTAAGATTTTGGTAAAACCACACCTTCAAAAAGGATTATTGGGACAGTTAATGGTATGTGACACATTTGATATTTGGCCGCCCAAGTAGAAATCTGGTTTTATCTCCATACAACTCATGTTAATACTGTGTTAAAGTAATACTATGTACTATAATTGTTTGTGCTTTATTCTTCCTCAGTGTTGCATATCCTGTTTTAACAATGTTTTTAGAGAACCATATGTCTGATTTTAGGCCCCATCCAGGATGATGGCTGACAGCAGAGGGGGCAACAGCCGGAAGGTCTTCTCAGATGTTCAGCTGGAAGCCCAGGCAGACGTTGGTGCTTTCTCTGATTCATCCATCAGCAACGCCTCCTACCCTCTAACGCAACCCGCACAAAGGCAGCGGCGTCTCAACTCCACCAGCAACTTGCGCCGCTCCCGATTCACAGGACCTTGCTTTGGCCTTCTCTCTGAGGTGAAAGACCCTCTTAAGGGGTCCGTGGTTCCTCCAGGCTCCCCCTCAGAGCCCAGCCCCAGATCTACCTCCTCCTCCACTCAATGCCAGATGGAAGGTGGTCAGGTTGGAATGAGGCGCGAGTTCCCGGGCGAGAGTGATCACATCAGTGTGCCGGTGTTCGCCATATCTGAAGAGGAGGACCGTCAGCCTCTTGTTTCAGCTGAACACCTGGATGTGACTACTGTCTCTGTTGTGGAGAACGGACTGGCTAAGGGGCCACATGAGGCGCAGAGACATCCCACTGGGAGCTTCAGCCCCAAAAGGGCCAGACCAGAGTGGAGGCCATGGGGGAGCCAAGCTTCAGGAGGGGTTGGTCCACAACCTTTCAGCACATTTATCGAGTCACAGGAAGTGAATGTCAGCCAGCCGTCTGTCAGTCTGTCCATGGGGCTGTGCACTGTGACAAACCAGATGTGACTCAGTAGTGAGGAGCAAAGACTGGTGCCAGTTTTGTATTTCTGAACTCCGTTAGCATCAATGTTTAAACAAATAACCTCTGTTTCTGAAATCAGCTTTTACAAATGTATTTCATAGCCTTTTGTTGGAAAACTCTCCTTCCTTAATGAATTTTATAACATTGCCCTTTGGGCTAAGAATACGCTGCATATTATACCAATTATACTGATGTACTCTGTTTAAGTAACTTTTTCCATCTCCTTGTTAGCACCTTTTAACCAGATGTCTTAAATAGTTTATTGTAGTTACATCACTCCAGCGGATGCACTTTGCTTTTTGATATTTCTGTCCGTGTTGATTTATGCTGCTTGTGTCGGTTTTCTGCCTCTGCCTTCATGTGGTTGGTCACTTCGTCTGCTCTTCGGCCCACACTTACAACCGTCTCCACGGAGACCATTTACCCAAAAGTATTATGTAGGACATAGACTCGCATTTGTATGAGTGTTAAACCATTTTATGTATACTCCTAAGATTATGGATTATGAAAGGGAAATCTAAAAGTATTAATATACACCATTATGTAGTACAATAGCACTTAAAATAGCATTTACAGAAATGAATAGTAGTTTTAATAAAGATGATTTAAAACCATTTTGGTCTTTCATTTCTTATTAAATAATCAGTCATTCCTTCATCTTTGTTTTAGTGTCTACACCTGTCTCCTTTGGTCTTCAGTGACGTTGGGAATGCTAAACCTCCCTCACGTATACCGATGAAACTTAGAATAATGTGGAAAAGTTCATTTCAATAAAAGCTACAGGGGCACAACAAGCATCGAGTACAAATCTGTGATTAGATGTTTTAATTTATGATTGTTTTGATTTGCTGTCATTTTCTAATTGAGATTTAAAATTTGGAGTTTTCATGAGCTGTAAGCCATAATCGAAAGTCCAGCAGGTACAGAAGGTATTCGGACCCCCATCAGTTTTTCCATACTGTTGTATTGCAGCCATTTGCTAATGTCAATTCATTGTTTTCCTCATTAATGTACACACAGCATCCCATACTGACAAAACACTAAATTTTAGAAATTTCTGCAGTTATTAAACTATCACATGGTCCTAATGAGTGCTGTGACACTCATATTTAACTCCGGTGCTTTCTATTTCTTCTGATGTACCTTGAGATGGTCCTACACCTTCATTGGAGTCCAATCCTGTGTTTAATTATACTGAATGGGCTTGATTAGGAAAGCTGCATGTCTGTCTATATAAGACCATACAGCTCACAATGCATGTCATGGCTTTATGGTGGACAGTCGGAGGCCTCTCCTCAGTGCAAGATGCATGAAAGCCTGCATGGAGTTTGCTAAAAGACACCTGAAGGATTCTCTGGTCTGATGAGAACTTTCTGGCCTTAATTCTAAGCTGTATGTGTGGGGAAAACCAGGCACTGCTCATCACTTGTCCAATACATTTCCCACAGTGATGCATGGCGGTGGCAGCTTTATGCTGTGGGGGTATTTTTCAGCTGCAGGGACAAGACAACTGGTTGCAATCAAGGGAACAATGAATGTGGCCAAGTACAGGAATATCCTGGACAAGAACCTTCTCCATATTGCTCAGGACCTCAGAGTGGGTCGGACCATCCAACATGACAATGGCCCTAATCACGTAGCTAAAATCACAAAGGAGTGGCTTCACAACAACTCTGACTGTTCTTGAATGGCCCAGCCAGAGCCCTGATTAAAACCCAAATGAGCATCTTCGGAGAGACCTAAAAATGGCTGTCCACCAACGTTCACCATCCAACCTGGCGGAACTGGAGAGGATCCCCAAATCCAGGTGCAGGAAACCTGTTGCATCTTTATCAAGAAGACTCATGGCTGTATTAGCTCATAAAGATGCTTCTGCTACATACTGAGCAAAGGGTCTGAATACTTAGGACCGTCTGATATTTCAGATTCTTTTTTTTTAAAATAATGCTGCAGAAAAAAAAGTGTTTTGCTGTCAGTATGGGGTGCTGTGAGGAAACTATAAATTTAATTGATTTTAGCAAATGGCTGCAATATAATAGTGTGAGAAATTTACGGGTCTGAAAACTTTCCGTACCCGCTGTATATATATATATTTTTCCTAAATCAACAATAAAAAGTACATCATGAGCTGTGGTAGGGTGTCTGGCCCTACCACAGCTGGTTCCAGAGCCAGAGGCATGCATCGAGGTGAGTCCGACTAGATCTGTACTTGTGCTGCAAGAAATAAGTTAATCCATGAAGACTTTAAATAGATTAAACAAGGCAATTTTAAACTCCAAGTTGGAATAGAAAAACAAATGAGGCATTGCTTTCAGCTACTTTGTCCTTTTATTAACGTGAATTGAACAGGCAAATCAGAATTATATGCATTTCAAATTCATTGTTAGTATTATTACAGCCTCTAAACATTTCTTGAAGTTCATAAACAGTTTTTGCTTAATGCTACCCTACAAGGATTTCATTATGTTTAATAGACTACAAGTCGCTTCATTTCTACAATAATTCTTCAAATAGTGCAGTGCATATAAACTTTACAGGCATTAATGAGTTATGTCACCCTTGTTAAGGTTTGCAAGTGCAGCCTTAAAAACAAGGGACTCATCTGAATGTGACTGATTCTCATTCAGTCCTGGATTTCATGGAGGTGTGTGATGAGGTAGAATAAAACCTGCTGATTCTTTACTCCCGAGCATCTTGGTCCAGACCTTGGCAGAAAAATTGAGCAAAAACCTGCCTTAGTGAATAACCCCTGCCCTGACTCAAACAAAGCCATCACTCCAGGGAGGAAGCAAAGTGCTCCAGCAAAGCCTCTAATAACAATCTGTGATTGGAGCGGTGCGGGTCTGTTGTTAGCTTAGGGTGCCCAAATCTCTTGTAGAAAATAATTAAAACTTGTTGGGGGATCGATCTCGCTTGTGCCGAGGGGCTAAGCTGCTGAGGAATGCATTTACAGACCCAGCATGAATAAAAAAAGTGGAAAAATCTAAATCACCTTAAATCTTCAACAAATAAACTTAAGCAGAAGACAGAAAAGTGCCCATAAACAACCAAAAAAAAACAAACAAACAACTAACAAGACTGAGTTCTAGCTGAATATACATTATATTGATTATCACCTTTAAAATGTACTAACTTGAGTTAAAGATACTTCAAAAACACATTTTCTAAATCTATCAGAACCTCTTATTGTGAATATCTCATTTTGAGCCAGTTGTCTTAACATTGCATACGTCATCCATGGATTCTCACTGATGGACATGTAAACGGGGGAAAAGTATTTTGTGAGATAGATTTGTGCAAATATTGTAATAAAAAATAAACCAAATTTTCATCCAAGTTAACGTAAAAAAAATACATAAGAGTTGAAAACTATCAAATTTGTACAAAGCACACTAGATGCCTGCTAAGGCCTTTCCCCACTCTCAATAGCTTTAATAACAACGGGTACAATAATAAATGGGTGTTGCTAATCCTACAACACGTAAGGCCTCAGAACCTACTCTCTGGAAGTTTTAACTATCAAGGTAAACAAAGAATCGATTTGTCCATTTCTGTAAAAATCTCATTTAGATTATTTTTCAAACGCGTGTGATGATCGTCTTGAGGTCAGTGCATTTAACATTCGCTGCTGTTTAATTTCCACGTACACCTTTTAACCACCAAACATGGCTGACCTGCAGGTGAAATAAAACAGCAGCTTTGTGTACCTGAGAAATAGAAAACCTAAAGGAAAACAAACGTGCTGATCCACTGAGGTAAGCTGTAGTGGGACATCACCTGAACGACAGAACCTCCTGTTATATCTGCATTAGTGGGTGCTGCACACGTCAAAACCGTTCTGTAATTTAGCCACTCAAACACAATCTAATCGTTTTGAGTGTACCTTTCTTCCCTTTGCCAAGTCCACATGAGATAGCTGAGCATTTCATCACAGATCAGTCCTTACTAGAATAGGAAAGTGTCATTTTCTGCTCTGGTGAATCACCTTGGAGAAGATTAGCCAGAACAAAAGCACCAAACAGAGGCACATTCTGCCTTCTGACGGCGTTACAACACATTGATCCCCTTCCCACAGACATGAAATCCTAAACAAATATCACATAGAATTACAAATCTACCTCGGTACGTGCATGACGGGGCTTTGACGTGGCTTTCTGCTCTTGCCTGGGAACACGATAATGCCCTGGTTAAACGGAAAAAATCCCTCAGAGGTGATACTTTTGACTGGTTAAAGTTAGCAGTCTGGGTATTAGCAGCAGCAGCTTCACAACATGTCTTAGCTCAAAAAGTAGATGAAAGTACTATTTCTGTTAAACTAATGATCACGTCTCTGTCACTAAGAGTTTTCTACACATCATACAAGCACTTCTAGTGTAAAGAGCCTAAATCCATGTGAGGTATTTTAATCCACACCACAAAAGAAGGAGCATATCGCAGAAGACCCTGGAGGACAAGCATCGGGAAGCATTTCAGCCAACTGCTCATCTTCAAGTGGTTGTTTACCTGGTTCATCTAGATAACACAAACCTTTCCCCAACCACTCCAAGGATTTTAATCTATTCTAAACGTGCATAGTGTTGTCACACAGGAACCTGAATGAAAGGAGACCATGAGCACTGTTTTAAAATGACACTGATTGTTATTTGTGCATAAGGTAAAACGAGGCGATAAAACGTAGCACGATCCTGCTTCTTAGGTGCACGAGAAGCTGATTTATCTACATTTGACACATTTAGGGAGAAAAAAAACAAACGTCTCTCTTTTAACTCTTGAATCGTGTCTGCTCACATATGTGGTTGAATTTCCTGAAATCAAAGAAAAACAAAGAATAAACAGAAGTGACCAATAACATTTTGCACAAAGTCTTAATACAAGACAGGACAAAGAGTGGGGCATACTTTAGAAAAGGACTCCTCCTAGAGGTAAAAAATGAAAAACACACAAAAAGCTGTCCTGATTATGTTAACTTGAGGACATGTTGAACGGGTCATTTAACCACTGACTCAGGTGTGTTGGAGCAGAGGAACCTCGAAAAATGAAGGACAGTGTCCGTCCCTGGAGAACCAGGATTGGACACAACTGCAATAAGTCCTAAACAGCACGTAGGTGTACCAACATGCTAATTATTATGAATGCCTTAACACGTCCCACCAGTACATCCCTGTGGCAGTGCAACAGTCTTAAAAAAGACACGTCTAGGACTTACACTGCGTGATGCGTCTTGACCTGCGTGCGACAGTTCCGTCCCCAGTAACAGTCAGGTCGGGACGCTACGTCAGCTGGGGTCAAAACATCAAACCGTGGTTTTAAGAATGTTAACCAAATGAATAAAGCTGTAACAACTGTTCTGTTCTGACCTGGCAGCTCAGATGGAGGGATATTCTGTCTGTATTTGTAGGCTAGCTCCTTAAAGGCTCTCAGACCGCAGCAGACGCACAGGATGGTGTCTGCAGAGATGCGACAATCTGGTGGAGATAAAGTCAAACAAGACTGAGTGTTAGAGCTCCATTACCAGATAAAAGTGATGCTTTATATTAGAAAAAGCCACTCTGGAAACAGAAGTGCATTTTAAATGTATAATCAGATAAAAACAAAGTGAAGGTTTTGACCTGAAGGCTCACCTGTCAGGAAGTAGCTTCCCTGCTGTAAGCCGTGTAAAGACCCCTGGAGAAGATCTTTCCATGACTTCCCCCTTGAAGACAGGTAGTTCTACAGAAACACAAATCAAATTAACACCGTCATGAAAAAGACACACAAACATCTGTTCGAAGTTAAAAAAGGGCTCCACAGCTCTAGCAATGTGAAAAATGTGATTTCCAATCACATGCTTTATAACCGAAGTTGTGGAGCCCTTGAGCTGTTTTCTCGTGCCACAAGTACCCCCTTAGTCAAACGTGTTGACGACTGCCCAAAAGTAGAACGTACAACTGATTATGAAGTGAAAATAATTTCAATAAATATTCTTAGCACTGAACCACGTCTCACTTCTCAGGTGACTTATTTCACTTTAACAATCCTCATGCAGGGTTCAGAAAAAATAAACTCCATGTGGAAACTTTCTGGAGCTCTGCATCTGCACCACAGCTGGTGTAAATGTTCTGATTGGACTCAAAAGGATTTCTGATCCATGTGAAACTGGACCACCTCCATTCTGCATTCGGTGTGAACGAGGCTTCACGCCCTCGGTCACACTCGGTAGCAGCTGCAGCCCTGCTCTTATTGGTGTTTCTTAACTCTGGTCCTCAGCACCTCCTACAGGTTTTAGGTGTTTCCCCGCAGCCACACACCTGACTTAAATGAACAAGTGATTAACAGGTTTCTGCAGCACCTGACGTCATCCTGAGATGGCAATGCAAATATGTAAATCAGGTGGGCTGAAGCAGAGACATAGAAAACATGCAGGACAGGTGGGTGCTTGATAAGAGCTGGTTTATTATTGCTTTGGGTAGGAATGGGCCATATGGCCTAAAATATATATCACAATATATTATTTCCTTCTATTTACTAATTTATTTATGACAAAATAACTGGTTTTAGCATTTTCATATACCAGATGAATTTCAGCAGAACAAATATTTCTAAAAATGATGAACATTTATGGTTCAAACCATCGAATATATATATATGGTTCAAACGTATTAAAAAAACAACCTTTCGAGTAGTTTTTATGTTATGATTCATTCTTCAAACAATGCAACACAAATCCTCATGAAATTAATAAAGACGAAGATCTTTAAGTAAAATACAAACTAAATGGGATGAAAACACAGTATTATAAATTGTTTGAACTGAAGTGAAAAATGTAGAAACAGAAATAACATTTATTCCTAATCGTGTGTTGCTACGTTTTTTGTCAACATTAATAAATAAGTTGGAGGTTTATTCTTTTTTCTCTGCCTCTGGTTGAGCGACGCTCTGATCAGCAGGTCTGGGGTTTTAGAGGTCAGACCCACGGCGTGCACTGGCCGCGCAGAGAGAGAGAGACGGGGAGAGAGGAGCTGCACAACCTTGAGCGTCATTATTGGGAGAAATGGCTGCGGATGGAAATTTGTTCATATCACTGGAGATGTCCAAAATTTTGGAAGTCTGTGTGTTTATTTAAGAGGATTGGTGTTAACAAGCAGACAAGACTTTACCATCGCCAGAACAATTTACTGATGTGGGTTTTCTGTTTAGAAAATAATTAAGAATAAAGGATCAGAGTGAGACGGAAAAGGGTAGAATGCCTTCTCCGGGTCAGGGACGAGGTCCTGTCCCAAAGAGGCGGCGGATTGGTGCTGCATCTGCAGTGATACGGCCATTGTACCCATCTGTTGTGGTAAAGAGAGAGCTGAACCGGAAGGCCAAGCTCTTGATTTACCGGTACCTACCTTCACCTACAGGTGCTGGCCAGTAAATTAGAATATCATCAAAAGGTTGAAAATATTTCAGTAATTCCATTCAAAACGTGAAACTTGTACATTATATTCATGCAATGCACACAGACCAATGTATTTCCAATGTTCATTACATTTAAATTTGATATTCATAAGTGACAACTAATGAAAACTCCAAATTTGGTATCTCAAAAAATTAGAATATTCTGAAAAGGCTGAATATAGAAGACACCTGCTGCCACTCTAATCAGCTGATTTACTCAAAACACCTGCAAAGGCCTTTAAAAGGTCCCTCAGTCTTGTTTTGAAGGCACCACAATCATGGGGAAGACTTCTGACTTAACAGCTGTCCAAAAGACAATCATTGACACCTTGCACAAGGAGGGCAATACACAAAAGGTGATTGCTAAAGAAGCTGGCTGTTCGCAGAGCTCTGTGTCCAAGCACATTAACAGACAGGCGAAGGGACGGAAAAAATGTGGTAGAAAAAAGTGTACAAGCTCTAGGGATAACCGCACCCTGCAGAGAATTGTGACGACAAACCCATTCAAAAATGTGGGGGAGATCCACAAAGAGTGGACTGCAGCTGGAGTCAGCGCTTCAAGAACCACCACGAGGAGACTCATGAAAGACATGGGATTCAGGTGTCGCATTCCGTGTGTCAAGCCACTCTTGAACAAGAAACAGCGCAAGAAGCGTCTCGCCTGGGCCAAGGACAAAAAGGACTGGACTGATGCTGAGTGGTCCAAAGTTATGTTTTCTGATGAAAGCAAGTTCTGCATTTCCTTTGGAAATCAAGGACCCAGAGTCTGGAGGAAGAGCGGAGAAGCACAGAATCCACGTTGCATGAGGTCCAGTGTAAAGTTTCCACCGTCAGTGATGGTGTGGGGTGCCATGTCATCTGCCGGTGTTGGCCCACTCTGTTTCCTGAGGTCCAGGGTCAATGCAGCCGTCTACCAGGAAGTTTTAGAGCACTTCATGCTTCCTGCTGCTGACCAACTTTATGGGGATGCAGACTTCACCTTTCAACAGGACTTGGCACCTGCACACAGTGCCAAAACCACCAGCACCTGGTTCAAGGACCATGGTATCCCTGTCCTTGATTGGCCAGCAAACTCGCCTGACCTTACACCCATAGAAAATCTATGGGGTATTGTGAAGCGGAGGATGCAATACGCTAGACCCAACAATGCAGAGGAGCTGAAGACGACTATCAGAGCAACCTGGGCTCTCATAACACCTGAGCAGTGCCACAGACTGATCGAGTCCATGCCACGCCGCATTACTGCAGTTATTGAGGCAAAAGGAGCCCCGACTAAGTATTGAGTGCTATACATGCACATTCTTTTCATGTTCATTCTTTTCAGTTGGCCAACATTAGAGAAACAAACATTTTTTCATTGGCCTTTAGAATATTCTAATTTTCTGAGATACCAGATTTGATGTTTTCATTGGTTGTCACCTATAAATATCAAAATTAAACGTAATAAACATCGGAAATACATTGGTCTGTGTGCATTGCATGAATATAATGTACAAGTTTCACGTTTTGAATGGAATTACTGAAATATTTTCAACCTTTTGATGATATTCTAATTTACTGGCCAGCACCTGTATGGTCACGAGCTTTGGGTAGTGACCAAAAGAACAAGATCACAGAAACAAGCAGCTGAAATGAGCTTTCTCCACAGGGTAGCTGGGCTCTCCCTTAGAGATGGGGTGAGAAGCTCGGTCATCCAGGAGGGAATCGGAGTAGACCCCCTGCTCCTCCACATCAAAAGGAGCCAGTTGAGGTGGCATCTGGTTAGGATGGCTTCTGGACGCCTCCCTAGTGAAAGTATTGATTGATTGATTGATTTCCAGGCACATGCAACCGAGAAGAGACCCAGGAAACGCTGGAGGGTCTATATTTCTCAGCTTGCCAGAGAACGCCTCGGAGGAGTTGATTCAAGTGGCTGGGGAGAGGCTGCTGCCTCCGCAACCCAACCTCGGATAAGAGGATGAAAATGGATGGATGGACGCAAATGATAATAAAATTAATGACAAAGCAAATCTCACTTTGAGAATCTCAGATTCGTAGTTGTTGTTGTTCAGCACACCATCCAGGCACTTGTCTGTCAGATTCAGCTCTGGAAAAAAAACAAAGTAATAAACAATCTGCAGGAAACACTGACCATTGTGTTGAAAAGTAAATAAATAATAAAATTAAAAAAGCATTTTTCTAAGTTATTGTGGAGGCTGGTTTAGGTTTGAATCCCTGTAACATTTTGTTGTGGTAAACACTCGTTAGCTTCAGGCAAGATCTCAGATTTCTAGGACACCAAAAGTTAAACTAGGTGGTAAAAATCACAGGGATTAACTCAATTAGACAAGTTTTTTGTTAGTGAGCTCCAGTATTTTCAACCTATTGATTTACTACGACCACTGACAGGTGACATGAAGTCAGGCAGCAAAAGAACTTAAAGTACGGCCTGGAGGGCCAGTATCCATCAGGTTTTAGTGGTTTCTCTAGTCCAGGGTGGGCAATCCTGGTCCTCGAGGGCCATTATGCAGCAGGTTTTAGTTGTTTCTCTGCCTGAGCACACCTGGTTAGAATCTGCTGGGAATTAACAGGCTCCTGAGCTGCTGAACATGTTTTTCATCTAGGAATGAGGCATGTTGGAGCAGGTAAAAAACTAAAACCTGCTGGATAGGGACCCTCGAGGACCAGGTTTGCCCACCCCTACTCTAGTCCAAAACACTAGATTTGGTGGTTGAATATCCTGTGCAGCAGCTCATCAGGCTCTGCAGAAGCCTGCTAATCACCTGCTGATTGAAATCAGGTGTGTTGAAGTAGGGTTGAAACTAAAACGTGCTGGATGCTGGCCCAGAATTGAATAACACTGTTTTAGAGGTTTCCCTGCTCCAAAAATAGCTAGTGTTAGAGTAGAGAAACCTCTGCTGGAGCTGTTGGAGGTGTGTATGTCTCGATGACATAATGAACAGTTAAACCATTTAATCAGGTGTGTTGGGACTAAAACGTGCTGGATCGTGGCTGTTGAGGACCAGGATTGACACCCCTGACTTAAAACAGATACATACCCTGGAACGGAGCCAAACAGCCCTGACAGCCGATCCTCTGACAGCCCCAGTACATGTGACAGAAAGGCCGCTGGCACAACGTACCTGCCAACACAACACATGATGCTGTTTGCTACCACCTATGGTGGATTTAAAATGAAGGAACACAAAGGGGCGTGTGTGAGATGTTTCAAAGTTTTTATTATAAAAGGATCTAAAACAACCGATTATCCAACCACCAATCACAATATCTGACTCGTTTTTTTCTAGTTTAAAACAGATTACTGGCTAATCACAAATGCTTTTACATACTACGGTCTTCTGACCACACCCATGTGCTGTGACAGGATGACACCAGCACAGGGCTGCTTCTCCTTTTGTTTTAAAATTACTACAAAGCATCAATGCTATGAAATGACCAGAGCTAACCCAAGCTCCTCTATTAAACCAGTAAAACCAAATAAAAGCCAGTAAAACCAAAGTGGAGTGGTTGGGGGCGACGGCACAAACTCAGCCCTCCTTTGCTTCTGGCAGCTCTGCTATTTCAGCTCCTTCAGGTATATGCAGCTCAGGTGCAGCTGTGTCGGCAGAAGGAAAGAGCGGAAGCCCATATTTGGAGTGTCTCTGTCCTTGTTGAGGACTCCAGGAGGCAGGAGATGGCTCTGATTAGAGTCCTGAACTCCTGCTCCTGGCCAAAGCAGCAGCAACCATAGTACAGCCGCTGCAAAGCTTTAACTAATCACGTACAGTTAACTGGTCTATAGTTGGACTGATCTATTTCAGCATTTTGTTATATTAACACCATTTCACTATAGTTAAATACAAGCGTGTGTGTGATAGAGCGGCGTATTCCTGCAGAGGGACTAACAGGTGTCTGAGAACTCACATTGCTGAGCGAGAACCCGCTGGTTGTTGGGCTCGGCCCGTCTGTCTGGCATTGGCTGGAGGCAGCAGCTGCAGATGAGATGGTAGCCCTGAGGGGGACAGCGGTATTCATGCGGACCTGCTGCTGGGACAGAAGCAGAAAAGAGTTTCACAAAACCATCAAGTCATTACAGTAAAAGGCTGGTGGAATGATGGAAAGCTGCCAGAGATTAGACAGAAGAAAATGTGATCCGAGGTACCATCATCCTCTCCTGAAGGGTGATCAGAGGGCGTAGAGGGCTGCTCTCCTGCTGGCTTCGCTGCAGCCTCCTCACTTGCAGGTTTGGATGGTGAAAGGACTTGTAGATTTGGAAGACCGGGGAACCAGTAGTCTGAACTAGTAGCAAATAGCACTTGGCTCATATCCCTGATGTAGCCTGGACACTGTCTGCACATCACAAGAGGCTGACTGGAAACAAACAAAACACCAAAGCAAATGAATATATGAAGACATTTATTCTTGGCTAAAAATGAAAAAAGCAAGAAACTTGGGTCATTTCCAGAAGTTTGTACCTTATGTCAGAGGAGTCACTGTCGTTGTCAGAAAGCTCCAGCAGGTAGTCCGAACTGCCTTCTTCATCAGAGTAACAACGCTCAACTTTGGGCTGCAACATGTCCTGAGTTATCTTGTTTCTGCTGTCCATGCTGCTCAGGTCCTCCTTACTGCGACACTTGTCTGTCAGGCACAAAGGGACATGATTTAAATCAACATCTAGTAAAAAGACGCAAACCCAAGCAGTAGGGCTGCACAATATGTTGTTATCGTGAGATCAGCATGCGCAAAATGCATATCTCAAAGAACAGATAAATATCACGATGAATGGTCAGCTCAAATGTTTGCTACACAATCCAATGTTTCCCCTAGGAATTGTTCCTGCTGTGGTGGCGGTTGAGGGGGGGAGCGGTGAAATTATGCCACGTCTCACCTTTATGTTAATATTGTTTTATTTGACACACTCCACTTTGAACTGCACCAATCCAGCAACTGCTGCATTTTAATAACTAGTATTAAAGGTGAATACACCAATATTTGCACAAGAATAATTTCTGTTTTAAACTCTCAGTGACACACTTTGTGTGTGTGTGTGTGTGTGTGGGAGGGGGGGGGGGGTTTGACATTTAATTTTTCTTGGCATTTGGAAAAACATCTCCTTCTGCCCCCCCTTATTTGACTTTCTGCCCCCTTTATTTTGGTCCATCATTACTGGGCTGGCCCTGTTAAAAGACATTCTACACCCCTGCTTAGCAGATTTAATGAAGTATTTTTAAGCCAGTATAAAAATGACTGAAACACAAATTTACATATTTGGCATTATTGACCAATATCTTTGATTTAATGTACTTGTTAAGAACACCAAGATGCATTACAGTGAACATTATAATAAAGTACATGTTTCTAGTGCAGAGAGGAGAAAACCCATAGAAGCACTGATTTGATCTCATTTCAGAGAAAAATAGAACAGGTCAGATGCATCTAATAAATAAAATTACTAACAAACGCAGGAATCTGTTTCTTTGCTTCATTGTTCTGGTGCTGAAAATATCACTAATGCGGATCAAAGGACATACACAGATGAATGCACCTCTTATTTATTATTTGGAAATTAGTGGGTGTGGTTTACATCAATTCATTATTTTAAATCTGAAATTGATATGGACTGATCAGAATTTGATATGTGTATTGTTTATCTGAAAACTATTTACAGAGCTGCCTCAGAATTGAGATTAAATATTTTTGATCACAATAGTAAAGAAACTATTACAGAACAAGTTTTTCACTAAAATCAGAACATTAATATTTAAGTGCATGAATTAATGCATCTGAACTCATGCAGTAGGAACTAGGAAATATGAAATACTAGAACCATTTTATTTTAATTTGATTAAACAGATTTTTTCCTAATGTTGTTGGCATTTTTCCCACACACAGTTAAACAGAACAATGTTGATTAAGGGGTGTGGGTGTGTGTGGGTGTGTGTGTGCGTGCGGATGGACCGGACGGACTGCGCTCCTGGCTGCAGTTTTGTGTGTTGGGAGGGGCGGGCGCTCTATGTGACTGGCCAATCACAGAGAGTGAAGACAGTCAGTTACCCAATGAGGATTTTCCTTTCAGCACGATTACAGATATTTACGAGTTTTACTCGTTTCATGCTCGTATTCGTCAAAAATGCTTTATCCGTACCGGATACTCGTCTGAATGATAAATGATAAATGACCCGCACCTCTCAGAGTAAGGACTCCAAAGTGCTTTACATTAGTTTACCATTCATCCATTCACACACACATTCACACACTGATGGTGATGAGCTATGATGTAGCTACAGCTGCCCTGGGGCGCACTGACAGAGACGAAGGTGCCGAGCACTGACGCCACCAGTCCCTCCGACCACCACCAGCAGGCAAGGTGGGTTAAGTGTCTTGCCCAAGGACACAACAGCAGAGTATCCGGCTCATCACTAGCTGTAACCACCCTGCCCTGCCTCCTCCTCCTTGCGGCCTGCCGGCTGTGATCACAAGCAACAACAGAGAAGTTCCTGCTGCTTCTTCGGGAAATGGCGCACAAAAAAAAAAAATCAATAAAACTTGGGATCTTGTAGGCGTGGCGCTGGGATTTCAGCCGTGGCGGGCTGCCATGGCTACGCCTATGTAAGGGAAACACCGCAATCAAACGAAAGCATGATGTTTTTTAAACAAATCAAATAGAGCTCTTCATCTGTTCAGCCAACTGGGTGGGTTCTCATAGGTTAGATGTCCGCCCCCGAGGCAGACGGCACCTTATTTTGATGTTAGCAAATACCTGAGTTAGCTTTGTTCTGCTTTTTCTGCTGATTCTGCTTTTCACGGGATCCTTCTTGTTCATTTTCTTTTTCCCTTTTCTTCACATCTTTTGCTGACATTTTTTTACTTCTTTGTTTTTGATTATTTTTGTTCCTAAGTTAAGTTTTTATTTATCGCAAGTAATATCGTCATGGCAATATTAATCACTGTTATTGCATATCGCAGGCTTTCCTAATATCATGTAGCCCTACCAAGCAGCCTAGTAACCTGAGACTACACCGTCTACTGGTCTGTCCTTTATGTGTGCAAACCTGGATGCTGAATGAGGTAGGCCTCCACCAGGTTGTTGAGGATGTGGTTTTTACAAATTCTCTCTACGGGGCAGCGGCAGGTGGGGCAAAGTGAAGAGCGCTCCATCCAACCCGAGTAGCAGGCAGCACAGAAGACGTGCATGCATGGCTGCAAGCTGGAAGAAAGCAATTACCTCAGAAATACAGTCACAAATAACGAGAGGATACAGAGTTACAGAGCTCATGGACCTAATTCTGACTTGTGTGCTAATTCGGTGTCCTCAGACCTCACCTGATGCAGTCATGAAGTAGATCCTGGCAAATCACACAGGTCAGGCTCTCCTCCATCTTGTCTGTCTTTGTCCCCTCTACTACTGGTTTGGTCAAAAGAGTCCCTGGAACCGTCTGAGCTGAACCTGACACCCCTGCTCTGGAGGTGTTTGGGAAACCCTGATCACATTCTTTATCTGTAAAAAATAATCAACAACTCCAAATTTAATTTTCATTTTCATTGTCGGACTTAAAAGGTCTACTCTACAAGGTAAGACATGAAGTAAATACAGAGTAAAACTAAAAGAAAGTGAAATTAACCGTCGTGAGTTTTCCTCCTTTTGCTTTCTGGCTCCAGGTTGTCTTTTCCTAGTGCCTTAGACTGATCTATACATATGAAAGGACAACAAAGACTGATTAAATATTACACGTAATACTTTAAACATCTTTTTCTTACCAGGAGTCACCTGAAGAATTTATTAACAGCATCATAATTTATCAAAATATTAAACAGGTCCTTCACTCATGACTTTAATACATTTGCAGTGGTCTCTAGTAGGAATGAATGCCTTGTAAGTTGTACGCTGTGTGGGGCGGGAGCTCAGATGTACCCGTTTCAGGAACTAGAAGTGAGCCAGATCAGAGCTGAGCTTCAGACTGCAGTTTGAGCTCTTATTTCCTGATATTTGGTCACCATGCCTCTGATTGCTCTGCAACGTTGAGTTTTTATTTCCACAAATGACTCGAGTTTGAAGGAGTTCTGCTGTGTTGTGGAGTTGCTAATGCTAACGGTTAGCTTCTACTAGTCAAGATGTTGTCTACCGTTTCCTGGATGCTAAACCAACAACAACCTTCTGTTGTGAGTCACGATAGGTGAGTCCAAAGAAGTGTAAACAGGAATTTTTCCATTTTTAACAGGATGCGGTGCAGAAAAAACAAACTGCAGTCTCTCTTACCAGAAGATGAAAAGGCTGCTGTTGCCATGGGAGATGAAGAGGGGGGGCTGTTAATACAGAAGAGAGAAGCAGAAGTAGAAGGCTGAGCTTCTTCCTGAGCTGTATCCCGAGGAGCCTTAGAGAGCATCACAGGCTCCACAGAGAGGGACATCTCTGACGTTGGGACAGGTGACAAACACCGAGCTGAACCCTCCAGACCTCACATTCAAACATACGAGACGGAAAAGTTACTTAAGTGGCACAAAAACAAAAAGATGCAATACTTCTGGTTGCACAGGTGACTTCCAACTTACCATAACTGGAAAGTTGTGGTAAGCTCATAACGTCTTGATCCATTTTGATAGAATGGTAAACATAGGCAATGTCTGCAGTGGAACAGGAAAGTGTGTCTTTTCTATTGAAACTCATTTAAACAAAGATATGATTCTTGCTGCTCACAAACTGGGTGACTCACTTTGTTCTGGCTCACTCTTCCTGTACACAAAGTAGATGACATCACCGTTTTGCAGCATGTGACTTTGCTTTTTAACCAGTTTGGACATGTTGATCACAGTTCCATTAGTGCTACAGACAAAACAGATCAGTGTTTCAGTAAAACACCAGTGTGCACATTTAAAAAGGTGCACAGCTTTACTGTACCTCATGTCTTCAAGCCACACCAGCCCTGAGCTTTCATTCTTTACTATTTTGCAGTGCTCCCCTGAGACCAGTTTGTTGGCTGGAAATGACAGATGACACCCTAAAACAGAAGAGAAACGACAAATGCAAACAAATCTACCATAAACAAATGTTTTCTGCTTTCAAATATAGCATCATGTTTAGCTTTCCTCTCCTTTAAAACAAAGAAAGAGCTAAATTGTCCGACACAATGGTGTAATGTAAAATCTTCAACCTCATCTCTAAGCCCGAGTTGCCATGACAGCTTTAAATCATTCATTAGCCAGACATAAGCTAACTGATTAAGTAATGCCAAGTCTGGTGGCTTTGCATTATAAAAAAACGTTGATTCCCCAAAGCTCTCGACAACAAAGCAGACACAGGGGGATATATGGCCCTAACCTCTTCTAAAGCAAACCCGTACAAAAAAGCTCTACTTAATATTCTTCACACATGTTGTCAATAGACGCCTTTTGTTCCCGTCACAAGGGTCTGTCTAAGTTTGCTGCACTAAAAAAGGGTTTGTGTTTTTAAGGGGGAGGTTGTAAAGGCTCCAGACATTGACTGGCAGAAACGTCTACACCACAGGACTGCCTTTCATTTATAAAGATTTTCCACTTCTGGAGTTTGGACACCAGGGTAAAAAGACATTTTTGTCAACATTAGATTTATGGCAAAGAAAGCATGGTGGATCACAGGGTAAAAGACTAACCTTTTTTTCTGCCAACTGTGCATTCCTTATTGAAAAGCAGAACAGTTTCATTGGAATCAACTTTGACTAGTTTCCCCCAGGGTCGTCCTCCTCTGTGAGTGTCCATGGCTCGATGTTTTTCCTGAAATAAAATTAAAAATTTTAAATCAGAAAACAAGTCAGGAGACATAAAAATCTGGTTATTTCCTAAAACTGATATGGGCTGTGGAAGTAAAGAGAAAGTGATATTAGAGAGGCAACAAGGATATAAATCTGTATATAGCCATTGAGCCTAAATTATACACAGCATATAAATATTTGTACTACAGCTATTGTCTATTTAGGCGTTAACCCACTCTCAGAAGCCAGTTTGCATCTAGTTTTAAATTACAGGCTGATGTAACTCTGTTCCTACGGGATAAGTTGACAGAAGCTCATAATTTTGACAGTCAAAAAGAAAAACTAGTACTGTAAATAAATACAAGCCCAACAACCATATACACAATGGCAAAGTAAATAAAGAGTTACAACCATAACAAGCGCCGACTAAACTCAGCTCTGAGATTTTTGACAAATGTTTTTAACTAAAACTTGATTTGATCTCCGGGACAAGCTGGGAAGACGTGTAGTCTGTTCTCTTGACAAATATCAAAGCTTCAAAACTTTCCATGATGCAACACAACAGCCCAACACTGAACTTTGTTCCTAACAACACTGGGCTAACGACACTGCTAGCATTAGCATCGACGAGAGAAACCCAGCGAAAGACCCTCACTCAGACTAACTATATGTACGGTTTCATTTGTAAACCCGTCTGTTACTTTACCATCAAACCCGCGGTGTGTTCTCCCAGGTGTTTCGGATTAAACAGCGTCTCCTTCTCATGTTCTAGCTAGCATAGAGCGAAGCACTTCCTGCAAAGCTCTGAGCTGGCCCCATCAGAGGAGGGGCCCCGAGAGCTGCCTGCTCGGAAATGTTCACCAACGGTTTGTGTCAAAACAAAAGCAAAAACAAAAAACTCTGATATTCATTTAAGACACTAAGTTTTAAAGGCCACATCATGACAGAAATGGTAAAGTTAATAAAATGATTATTTACTTTAAATGTCAAAAGTAATTATACCCCTTCTCTTTTATACCAGAATATGGGTATAATAACAGCAGCAGCAGCAACAACAACAACAACAATAATAATGATAATAATAATTTATTATTATTATTATTATTACTATTATTATAATAATAATAATAATAATTATTATTATTATTATTATAAAATATATTATTATATAAAATACAATTTTATGACTTTATTTTTTCTGACGTTAATCTGTTTGTTCTGAGATCATTATGTTTTATTTTGTTTTGATCTATGTGAAGCACTTTGTGATGTAATAAGTGCTACATAAATACAATTTAGTTACTACATACATACTTATTAAAATAATAAAAACAGAATAAATAGACAGATTCAGGAGCACTATAGATTTTTTCCCCTCTGCATTCTTTTATACATTTTTTCTTCTTTTTGTCCATAATAACACCTCATGAAGCCTACTTGAATCTTACCTTCCAGGTCGGATATGTCCAATGTGTGGTCCGTGGGCCATCTGCGGTCCTCAGACTGATTTTATTTTGGCCCCTCCTAAGCACGGATAATGGTTTTGCTTATCCTGTAGGCTGTTGATGTAAACAAACACTTTTACATTGGATTATTTATGTGGCCCTATTTTTTAGTATTACAAATAAAATAAATCACAATACCCTCGTCTAGGAATGTCTCTACCCCAATTAATGACATGTTGGTTCAGGTAGTAGTTCATGGTTGATGAATGAACAGTAACAAAGCATTTTGGACTTCACTTTTATGACCTTTGACCTCAAAATAAGGCTCACATTATCCTCCTACATAATTGACTCAATCTTTAACCAGTGAAAACTCCTTAGCATGAATCCACCAACAGGACATGAAACAACACTTTATCACAAATAATCTGTATTTTTTCCTCGTGGTCACCTTTTTTATACTTTTGACCGCATGTCATTCTTGGGTTTCTCTTTATTGCAAGCTTCAGTACAAAGAACAACAAAAACACTCTATTAGATGTCAGTAGTTTAAATAGTTTATTCAGCACTCCAGACCAAAGCATTCATCCAATAACTACAAAGATCCCTGCAGGAGTCTGTAACTATGGCTGAGACACAACATTTCAGTTCACAGGTTTTCCTGTCAGAGCTGAACTTCTGACTCTACAGCAACGGTAAGAAATGTAAAAAGTCCATCCTTTCTGCATTTATTATCTGGGTACTAAAGATGTGTTCATCATTGTCAAAGCATTTTGGCCCACTCTTCTTTACAAAACTGCTGTAGTTGATTGGAGTTTGCAGACACGTGTTTCTGCTCAACTCTCCCATCACAGCAGTTAGGTCGGGTTTAGGTGTAGACACTGTTTGGACCATAGTAGCACCTTGATTAATTTCTTTTTCTGTTGCAAATCTGCAGCTGCATTTGGGATCAATAACCCAGTTTGGTCCAAGCTGGGATCACATCTGACTCTAGAACACAAACCATCACCCTCCCGCCACCATGCTGACAATTGGAATGCTAGCTGTTTCTCACCAAGCACATTGCTGGGCATTATGGGTAAAATATCAGCTTTGATCCCAGCTGCTGCACCACATATCTTGTGTTTATTTCAAATGCAACTTAAAAAACCTACGTTAGTCATAATGTCATGCTCAGTTTAGAGAGAAGAGACTTTCTCCATCAACCCTTCCAAACATACCAGACCTGTTCAGACCTTTTCTGGTTAAATCAAAAAGAACTTTATTCTGCTAACTGAGACCTGAAGAGTCTAAGTAGGTAATGATGACTGGGACAGCAACAATTCTCTGTGATCATTGCTGATATCATTCCTCCTGGACATTGAGTTAACACACACCTGTATGCTCCAGACACTCAAACTGCCAAAAACCTCATCTTCTATGGAGTGCCACACTAATGTTAATCTTGTGCCTTTGATCCGCTGCATGTGGCAGGTACTCGTCATAATTTTTCCTCTGGAAGCAGCCCGATCAAATAAACAACATTCCAATTTTGGCCTTGGTTTAGTTGAAATCTGTTGTATTTTAGCCACTTAAGGTTAGATTTAGAAAGATGTTGACACCATCAGTTAATTATTTTCTAGGACTTGATTCAGAGGTCGAAACATGTGACATCAAGCTGAACGTGTGCTTCTGAAGAGAGAGGATGAAAAGCTGATAGTTTTTGTTGTATGTGCAAAGGTCTACGCTGTGTTCAAGGTGAAATCAGTGAGGACAGAATGTGGCACCGCTTCACTTTGAGATAAGGTTGTTGTTTCTTCAGAGCTGCAGAGACAACAGGAGGAACCTGAATACACAGAGCAGGTGATTTATTTTTCAAACCACTTGTTTTTCATTTATTTAGTCAAAACGTGATTTCACAATTCTGCAGGAAAGCAGAAGACTTGATGGTAAGTTGTGAAATGGCTCCTCCTGACCTTTACAGAACATTTTTAACAGCGGCAGCCAACTCTGACAAAAGTCTTAGTTTAATTTTTGTTTCTGTGTGTAGGGGGGCATTAGGTTAGGCAAACAGACACATTAGTCTGGCAGAGAAAAGAAAACACAATGACATTAAGGCAGATGTAATTTTTCAGAGGCTAAAGGGATGCTGTAATCACAGTTTGCTATGTAAAAAACCCACAATGATCAAATTCATGAGCAAAACATATCAAAGAAAATGATCAAATGTGGAAAATAATTATTTTCATGTTCTTAAATTTCATTTTATTTTCACTGCGTAACAGTTATCTTACATTATGTCTGTTAGTAAGCTTCTAGCACACAGCTGGCCGATTCTTACAGAAAATGTATTTTGCTAAAATGTAAATTCTGGGATTTAACACTGTCAGTATTTACTGATTCAAATTCAATTCAATTCAAAAATACTTTATTAATCCCAGAGGGAAATTAATGTGTCAGAACACACAATTCTGAGATTCAATTCAATTCAATTCAATTTTATTTACATAGCGCCAAATCACGACAAGAGTCGTCTCAAGGCACTTCACATAATAAACATTCCAATCCAGGTCAGTTCATTAAGCCAATCAGAAAAAATGTTTCCTATTTAAGGAACCCAGCAAATTGCATCAAGTGTCAGTGACTTTACAGCAATCCCCATACTAAGCAAGAATATGGCAACAGTGGAGAGGAAAACTCCCTTTTAACAGGAAGAAACCTCCAGAGGATCCTGGCTCAGTATAAGCAGCCATCCTCCACGACTCACTGGGGATCAAGAAGACAGAGCGCACACACACACACACACACACACACACACACACACACACACACACACACACACACACACACACACACACACACACCAAGCAATGTGTCTATGATTACATTGTGATTGCTTAGTAAATATTCTATTTGGCGAGAGATAAACTTTATTGTATTTATCCTAGTGAATCTATTGTTAAACGGGTAAACTAGCAGTAGCACACCCAACGTCAAGGAAAGCAAAAAGTTATTATCAGGAGAGGGAGAATGTTTAAGTGGTTAGCAGCAGTGTGCTAGACGATGGCCCCCTCCATGAGGCCACCATAGCTCAGCAGAACATCATTGTAGCTTCTTTTGGGGAGAAAAACACAGAGGAAAAAAAGTTAACAGCTGAAATTGCAGAAAATAGTACAGTTAAAGAGCAGACTGCAGAAGAAAGCAGTAGAGTGTGAAAAGTGGTCAGTGTATCCTCCAGCAGTCTAAGCCTGTAGCAGCATGACTACAGAGATAACTCTGGATAATCTATCCCATTTAGATGGAGGTATGTTGGAGTCAGGGCAAGGGAGAGCCGTCTTTACCGACTGTACACTCCACCTCCCTCTACTCCCCCACTTGTCCAGATCTACTGTAGGCTAACATCAGATTTTAACCATAGGTCCTATCAAATAAAAATGTTTTAAGCCTATTCTTAAAAGTAGACAAAGTGTCTGCCTCACGGACTAAAGCTGGGAGCTGGTTCCACAGGAGAGGAGCCTGATAACTAAAAGATCTGCCTCCCATCCTAAGTTTAGATATTCTGGGAACCACCAGTAGACCTGCAGTCTGAGAGCGAAGTGCTCGGTTAGGAATGTATGGAACAATCAGATCACTGATGTAAGATGGAGCTTGATTATTAAGAGCTTTATATGTGAGAAGGAGGATCTTAAAATCTATTCTGAATTTAACAGGTAGCCAATGTAGGGAAGCTAAGACAGGAGAGATATGATCTCTCTTTTTAATTCTCATCAGAACTCTAGCTGCAGCATTTTGGACAAGCTGAAGACTTTTAACTACGTTCTGTGGACTTCCTGAGAGTAATGAATCACAGTAATCCAGTCTTGATGTAATAAATGCATGAACTAGTTTTTCAGCATCACTCCTGGAAAGCTTCTAATCTTAGCAATATTCCGAAGGTGGAAAAAGGAAATCCTACAAACCTGTTTAACCTGGGAATTGAATGACATGTCCTGGTCAAAGATGTTGTTGTCATCACCACCGTCAGCATCATCATCATCGCCTTCGCTGTCATCATCATTATCGTCTTTGTTGTCATCACCACCACCATCACCACCACCATCATCATCATCATTATCATCATCATCAACATCACCAACATCATCATCACCACCACCATCTCCATCATGTCCATCATCATCATCATCATCATCATCGCCTTCGTTGTCATCATCATTATCATCTTCGTTGTCATCACCACCACCATCATCATCATCATTATCATCATCATTAACATCACCAACATCATCATCACCACCACCATCTCCATCATCACCATCATCATCAACATCACCAACATCATCACAACCACCATCATCACCATCATCATAATCACCACCATGATCACCATGATCAACATCACCAACATCATCATCACCACCACCATCTCCATCATCTCCATCATCATCATCATCCCATCATCTTCGTTGTCATCATCATTATTATCTTGGTTGTCATCACCATCACCACCATCATCATCATCATCATCATCATCATCATCATCATCATTGTAGCGTTGTGGTTTTATGCTCTTTTATGAAAGAGGAACCCTGCTACGTATTAATTCGGAATATTAATTTTTAATAAATCAATAACCAAATTTTATATTGTTCAGAAGACTCAAAGGTTGTTTTCATCGATAAACTGCCGATAATATCTGAGTGTCTGTGTTTCAGTTCAATGAGGAAACCAGTTTGACAATTAAAAGTTTTAATTCTTCAAATTAAACTAATGATTTTGAAAATTGACAAACAGGAAATAACAATCACATTGGCAACTTTGTGGGACAATCTTTAACAGTTGATATGTTGTTCTTGCTCAAATAGACCTTCTGGTGAATTTATGAAGATTGAGAATGTGGTGAGTTGTGAGAGTGATATGATGTGATTATGGATGCGTGTGTGCATCTGATTTTGCTTCAGGAAGAAACAGGTGTCTGAGTGAAAAGTGATGGTTTGAATAAACTTAGGTTTAGTTGGAAAAGATGCATCAAAACGCTATCTGTCGTGTTTTGCCTCACCGAAAATCGGACCCTCTGTTGGACCCGGGACGTCCCCTTAGGATGTTTCATCCAGGGCACCTTGGCTGGCAAAGAAGACAAAGATGCGCCGCGAACCGGTCCAGAGTTGCCCTCGGTACACGTTGATGGTAAAGCGTTTTGTCGATGCGCTTTATTAAGTTAATTCACTCAGAAATCAAAGACCCTGTATGAGTCTGCGTTAGAAGTTGCGATTCAGCTATTCTACCTGGCGTGGCAGAAACAGCGTGAGAGAGGGGGGGGGGATTGAGCCCATGGGCTCCGTTCCCCGTTAGCGGTTGTTCACACGTCCTCTCTCTTTCGTTGTCAAGCACGAACTGAGATCATAAGACTGAAACTTACCAAAAGCCTTTCTCTTCTCAAAGCAAACATGTGCGTCATCAAATGTGTCTGGAGTTTACTGTGGGAAGATGTGTGTGGGTGTGTGTGAAGGTCAGTACCAAACATTCTCAACATTATGTAAGAATGGATTCATTAATCCATTATAATTACCCCAAAGCATAATAGTCATTCATTTGATTAAACACATTTATAATGAGCAAAATGATAATGGTTATTTTAACATTAAAATCAAGAAAAAGAAGTTTAAACTTTATGTTTTGACTTGGTCTGGGTACAACTCATGTAAACACATCTTCTGGTAGACTGCAGGTGGCTGATGTTATGGTTTCCTCCCAGACTCGCTGGCGTTCAGGTCTTAATCTGTGGGTGAAAGTTCTCAATGACCCAGCTTTGACCCAGCTGAGTCCAGCACCACCATTGTGCCAGAAAACCCATATTTCCTCACGTTACATTCCCCCCTTTTGTGACGACATGGAGGTCAACAGAGGCCACTTGACGTCACAACCTCAATAACGTGATGCACTCGTGAAGGTAGACATCCCAGATGAAGGCAGGAACGATGAAGCGTCACCACAGGTCTCGTGTAGAAGGGAGTCTATCCTGATCAGATGATTAAGGCCAAAACTGTTGCAATCATTGTAAAGTAATCCACTTAGGGAATCTTGAAAGCAGAGCTATTTCAATAGCAGTTAATTTCATCAGCAATAATGCAAAGGTATGCAAAGGATAAGCAGCTCGTGTGCCACATGGAGCTGGGCAGGTGATGTTTTCCTCAGGCGTAGTCCAGGCGAAGTCCAGCGCAGACCTCGACCCATCTCGAACCACGACCGAAGCCCCATGCGACAGGAAACCAGTTGAAGGATGGTGAAGACGACCCCTCTGATGGGATGTAGTCCATACGAGCTCGGAGAAGGAGACAAAGTGAGACAGCCCACACGATAGATAGCATTTGATGCAAAGCAAAGAAATCAATCAAAACCTATCTATGGGTGCCTCTGGGAAAATGTGGATGCCTTTTGTGAATTATCTAAAGAAGAAATGTTCTGCACCCTGCTCTACATGTCATGTAAAAACGTGATGCAGTGAAAACACAAATAAAAGAAAGTAAATCCTAACTGATATGTGAAACTCAGCAGGCTGCATTAATTAAAGGCATATATGAAAAAAAATAATCATGAAAATGAAGGGCAAATTGGCTTGTGGCCCTTTAAGGGAAATAGTAACAAAATAAAATTAACTTTGTAATCAAATATAATCATGCTACACAAAGCACTAATAAAAAGATAGAGATGTAAATCAGTTCTAAAAATGTAAATCAGTAGGTTAGTAACCCCTAAAAATATGAGTTAGTAACAGGACCCTGGCTGGAGGCAGGTAACCTGAAAAAAAAAACTCAAAGGATATCACATTTGTTAAAAATTCATCCCACAAACGAGAGAATTTGTAACGGTCCACCAGTTAGTGGAAAAGAATCCGGTCAGAATAGAGTTGGTCAGAATAGAGTCGGTCAGAATAGAGTTTTGAATCTGGTATTGCGGACCCACAGAGACACGAGTTTGGACGTATCTGTGGGAGCAGGCTCATAAGCGATTTGGTTATCAAACTGTTTGTATCTTGTGTTACGAACCCACAGGGAAACTTGTTTGAATTTACCTAAGGGTTCCGTTTGGAACTGGAGCGAAGCTGATGGTTTAGCTGTTAGATCAGAACCTGATTTTACCTGCTCAAAGTTGGGTTGCAGCTTTACGGAGGCGACTTTGTTGTGATCAGAAATAGTAGTGAACTGGAAATGCGAAAGATTCTAGGTTCGGCTCCTGGCTGGCTCGCCATTAATGTAGCGTTGTGGTTTTATGCTCTTTTATGAAAGAGGAACCCTGCTACGTATTAATTCGGAATATTAATTTTTAATAAATCAATAACCAAATTTTATATTGTTCAGAAGACTCAAAGGTTGTTTTCATCGATAAACTGCCGATAATATCTGAGTGTCTGTGTTTCAGTTCATTGAGGAAACCAGTTTGACAATTAAAAGTTTTAATTCTTCAAATTAAACTAATGATTTTGAAAATTGACAAACAGGAAATAACAATCACATTGGCAACTTTGTGGGACAATCTTTAACAGTTGATATGTTGTTCTTGCTCAAATAGACCTTCTGGTGAATTTATGAAGATTGAGAATGTGGTGAGTTGTGAGAGTGATATGATGTGATTATGGATGCGTGTGTGCATCTGATTTTGCTTCAGGAAGAAACAGGTGTCTGAGTGAAAAGTGATGGTTTGAATAAACTTAGGTTTAGTTGGAAAAGATGCATCAAAACGCTATCTGTCGTGTTTTGCCTCACCGAAAATCGGACCCTCTGTTGGACCCGGGACGTCCCCTTAGGATGTTTCATCCAGGGCACCTTGGCTGGCAAAGAAGACAAAGATGCGCCGCGAACCGGTCCAGAGTTGCCCTCGGTACACGCTGATGGTAAAGCGTTTTGTCGATGCGCTTTATTAAGTTAATTCACTCAGAAATCAAAGACCCTGTATGAGTCTGCGTTAGAAGTTGCGATTCAGCTATTCTACCTGGCGTGGCAGAAACAGCGTGAGAGGGGGGGGGGGGATTGAGCCCATGGGCTCCGTTCCCCGTTAGCGGTTGTTCACACGTCCTCTCTCTTTCGTTGTCAAGCACGAACTGAGATCATAAGACTGAAACTTACCAAAAGCCTTTCTCTTCTCAAAGCAAACATGTGCGTCATCAAATGTGTCTGGAGTTTACTGTGGGAAGATGTGTGTGGGTGTGTGTGAAGGTCAGTACCAAACATTCTCAACATTATGTAAGAATGGATTCATTAATCCATTATAATTACCCCAAAGCATAATAGTCATTCATTTGATTAAACACATTTATAATGAGCAAAATGATAATGGTTACTTTAACATTAAAATCAAGAAAAAGAAGTTTAAACTTTATGTTATGACTTGGTCTGGGTACAACTCATGTAAACACATCTTCTGGTAGACTGCAGGTGGCTGATGTTATGGTTTCCTCCCAGACTCGCTGGCGTTCAGGTCTTAATCTGTGGGTGAAAGTTCTCAATGACCCAGCTTTGACCCAGCTGAGTCCAGCACCACCATTGTGCCAGAAAACCCAGATTTCCTCACGTTACATCATCATCATCATCATTGTAAATGCAGTTTAAGTAACTTTTTTGTTCAAAGTTTCACCACAAGATGGCACTGTGATTTTGTGATTGCCCTAGTAAGTTTATTTAACATGTTTATTGAAAGTATTATTTTTCATGTTTTTCAATACATTTTGTAGCATTTACAGGTGCACAGAATTAATACTTTTTGATATTTGAGTAATTTTGAATTGGTTTATTTTGATAAGGCATGTTTAAGAGCGCTGTGACGTCACTTCCTGTATCTCGAAGCTTCGGAGATTTTATTGCTGCGCACGGACAAATGTGTGCCAGTTAAGAACATTTGAGAAGAAGGTAAAGTGTTTTCAAGTCTACCGGTTTGTCTACTAGCAGGCCAAAGTGGTATGTTTATTCTTTATTTACAAATTCTGTATGTTAGCCAACTTAAGGCAACTAACTTGTTAATTTGTACATGATTTATGCTTTTTCATTAGTTCTACGGTGTTCATGTGGTGTAAAGAGTAAGAAGACGCAAGACCGCATTAAACATCAGTAAAAGGAACGCTCGTGTCTCTCGTGTATGTGAACAAGCCGGCACAGTAGAACACTACACTGCCTCGGAGGAGACGGTTGGAAGCAAGCTATTAGCAAGGGATGCTACCGACGTGCTAAGGGAAGTATCACGTGTTTGGACAAACACATGAAACAAGCTAACAAGCAGAAGCTAAATAAGCAAGCACTCAAGTTTGTGTCTTGAAAGTAGCGCAAGCGCTTGTGGATTGTTGCACTGAATGTGGCTTCTCCATCAAAAGAAATAGCAGTTTGCATCAATTAAGATTAAAGGTACATGGCCAAAATTGAAATAAGTTCATAAAAGTGATATCAAAACAAAATGGCAGATGAAAGTAAGCCCACTGTAAGTTGTGCTGAGTAGGGATGCAAGCAATTAATCGATTATCAATTAATTGTCGATAAGAAATTACTCGATTAAAATAAATTAATTGCAATTAATTGCGTTTTAAACATGTAATTCCCCGCCAGTCCGCGTGGGGGCGCGCTTGACACCAGACGTACTTGACGCACATGCGGGATCACGAGAGAGGAAGGCTCCGACGACGACAACAACAGAGGAGAAAGAGTACGCAGAGGATGAGGAGGACAAAACGGAGTGCAGTATGGAGCCACTTCACGCTGGTCAATGACAACGATGCCAAATGCACAATATGTGGAAGTATTCTGAAGTACAACAAATCTACAACTTCGTTGAACTACCACCTAAGTACGTCACATTCAGCCGTGCTACAAACTGCGAGTGGCACTCAGCCTACAATCGCCATGGCATTGGGAAGAAGGGTATGCGACTCCACAAAAGCAGAGGGCATTACCCAGCGAATATGTAACATGGTTACTACAGACATGCTGCCGATAAATGTCGTTGAAGGACAGGGATTTCAAGAACTGATAAAATACGTTGAGCCAGGGTACAATATCCCTTCTAGAACAACTATAACCACTCGCTTGGAAGCAAGTTACGCGAAGAAGAAGACCGAATTGAGAACGCAACTTGCAACTGCGAATGTGGCCCTCACGACAGACTGTTGGACTTCCTTGACTACGGAAAGCTACATCACAGTGACATGCCACTACATTGAACCGGACTGGCGGGTAAAATCAGCAGTCCTACTCACAGAGAGTATAACGGTGAGGCATACGGCAGACAATTTAGCCGACAAGCTAAACCAGGCTGTGGAAACATGGGGACTCACGGGGCGTGTAGTTGCATGTGTGCACGACAATGCACGGAATATCGTCTCAGCAAACAGTCCCACACGAGTCAACTGGCACTCAGTTCCATGTTTCGCCCACACGCTGCAGTTGGCCATTAACGACGGATTCACCACCTACATTAACCGAGTCATTATAGCTGCTAGCAGACTCGTGCAACACTTCAATCATAGTAGCCTAGCAAACATAGCGCTCAAAGCTAAACAACAACAAATGCAGCTGCCGTCTCATAAACTCATCCAATCCTGCAAAACCAGGTGGAATTCAGTCAGTGAAATGTTTAACAGACTAACGGAGCAGAGGTGGGCCGTGTCTGCTGTACTGTCTGACCGCACAGTAACCAAACTCTCAGATGCGAGGACGCTGGAATTGAGAGATGAATACTGGCAGTTGATGGAGGATGTGGCGCCAGTGCTGGAAACACTCAAGTGTGCAACGACCGTCATGTCTGCTGAGACTGAGGTGTCCGTATCAGACACGTATCCCATCACCTTCAGCCTGATCAACGTGCATCTCAAGACAGACGAGGAAGACACCAGCAAAGTGGGGGAATTCAAATCCAGAGTGTGCACTTCACTGAGTGAAAGGATGAAGGTAAGTTAAAAGTTAAATTTAATGATTGCAGATATTTTTTAACTGTATGCATTGCATACAAAGCAACTTGTTTGACAATGGTAGTTTTTAACTCCAATCTGATCTAATAATTAAGATCAGGCAATAAATAAACACCTAATCAATTTAAAAAAATTAAAAACAAACATTTAGGCAAGGCATATAGCACACTTACAGCACAATAACAGCAGTTATTCAAGGTGCTTTAAATTATTAAATTTGCAAAAAAGAAAAACAATTTGACAGCAATATAAAAACGGCAGACAAGGCAAAGAAAAAAGTACGATATTAGCTTGTTGCAGCAAGTTGAAAAGAAACTAAATGATGAATGATGTGCTATGACATAATTCAAAAGCAATTCTAAAAAGTTGAGTTTTGATTTAAGGCAGCTCAGTATTTCAGCAGCTTTACAATATTCAGGGAGTGAAGAGGCACTTTAGATATAATTATTTGTTTTCTTCACAGATTGCTTCTGATGACCTGATGTCAACACCACCAATGATAGCAACCATGCTGGATCCTAGGCACAAGCACCTGGGATTTCTGACCCCACCAAGGAGGGTTACAGCTCATGCCAAACTGCTTGAAGTTCTGGCTGAGACTGAAGCAGAAGCCAAATGCAAGAGCGCCACGTCAGCAGATGCGATTGGAGGCCAGCAGGAGTTGGTCGGGGGCCGGGTGGTGCCAGTCCAGGCAGGTGGACTTCAGAGACGCAGTGCGTATGCTTTGCTCATGGGTGAAAACTATACCACCAGGAGCACCGATGATGTAGAAAAAGAGGTGGACAGCTTTCTGAAGGATCCGCCACCACTCCTTGATTCCAGTCCCACAACATGGTGGAAAGTCAATGAAGGAAGGTTTCCAAGGCTGGCAAACCTGGCACGAAAGTACTTGGCCATACCAGGCACATCAGTCCCTTCTGAGCGAGTATTCTCAGCAGCTGGCCTGACTGTTAACAGGCTGCGCACACGACTTACTCCTGACCATGTGGATTTGCTGATATTCTTGAACAAAAATAGATAAGTCTGTCTATGCTATGAGAAGCACTAGGGATGTTTTGGTTGTTTGTTTTATGAAGACTGTCATCAGGGAGCCTATATTAAGTTAACTAGAGCTACAGTTTTGGTTTACCAATGTAATTGTGATATTGTCACATTTCCCAGTTAAAAAGGGATTATAAATACTGCTGATGGTCCACATCCGACACCTTATTTGCTTAACAGAATTTATTTTATTATTCTTCATAGAGACAGTGCACTATGTTAAAGTAGCCTATGTTCTATTTTTCTTTTCAGGAATGCTGCTGTTATTTATGTTCCAATGTCGCAGTCGCAGATGAGAAGCACAAATGTATTTTCATTTCAAGTAGCTGCTACCAAAAGTTATTCCCTGCCGTCAACCTGATCCCAGAATAAATCTTTGATTAAGGAATATTATTTGCATTTTTTCTTTATATCATATAGAAGATGGCATTTTATGTTGCATATATAGTAGATGGAACCTATTCAGAGGTTAATTCAATTTTTCAGAAAAATCGCTGCTTATCAATTAATCGATCATCGATCGATAAGATGAAACAACTATCGATTAATGAATTACTCGATAATTTGCATCCCTAGTGCTGAGCTTAAAACACAAGATGATGAAAGGCAAGTGGATACAGAAGAACAGCCAAATGGAGAGGAAGCTCAACAGTCCTCAATATCTATTAATTCACAATCAGAAAACCCACGCAGAAGCCAGCGCACACGCACACTCACTGAAAAGGGAAAATCTTTGGAAGATGCAAAGTTACATGGTTTGACCAAGGATTTTCAGCGATTCTATAAGAAATGGAAATATCACATAAACTCTTTTAAGAGAATGGTGAAAAATGAAGATATTGATTTAATACCTGAAGCTGTGAGTGCCATAGACGCCATTATGACTGATATCTGCAACACATATGATGATATTAGAAGGATTGAAAGTCCTGATGTAGAAATACGGAGAAGATGTGATGTTTGTTGTGCTGTCAGTGAAGCTGCCAGAGCAAAGGCAAAGTGCCTTTTGGAGGAAAATGGGGATCCAGATAGTATTCCTTGGCCAGATTCTGAATCTGTGTTTGAAAGCAGTACATCCAGCATCAGCTCAAGGATCACATTTAAGTCAAAGTCCATCTCTGAAATGTCCAGGCAGTCATCTCTAGTTTCACTGCAACAAAGGCAGGAAGCTGCAGCTGAAGTGGCAGCAACAGAAGAGGTAATTAAAATAATGAAAACACAACATCAATGTGAGGAAGAAATCAGAGAACTTGAAGTTGAGGATGCAAAGAAAAGAGCCCAATTTCTAACAGAGAGCACTACAATAAAGACAAAATTGGAAGAGAAAAGAAAAGAAGTGGAACTATTGAAAGAGCTGCAAAAGCACAATGCAGCACAAGCAAGATTAAAAGTGTACGCTGAAAGCATAAAAAATGAGGGTGAAGAACCGCCTACTAGTGTACATTTACAAGTCAAACAAGATAGCTCCCTTCTACCATCACGCTTTCTGAATGTTCACTCAAAGCCATTCATTCCTTCTCAAGTTAAAGATCCTGCAAATCAACGATTTGTCCAGAAAACAGAAATTCCAATTGCATGTGAAGCAGCCTCCATTGATCTTGTAAAGACACTTGCTGAAGCAATCACAGCCAATAGACTTCCAGTGCCTGAACCTGCAGTCTTCACAGGTGACCCGCTGCAGTATAATGACTGGAAGCTGTCTTTCCAAACATTGGTTGATCGCAAAAATCTGCCAACACAAGAAAAGCTTTTCTTCTTGAGAAAGTACGTTGGAGGTTCAGCTAAGAAGGCTATCGAAGGTCACTTTCTAGCTGGAACAGATACAGCATATTGTGCTGCTTGGGAAATGCTCGAAGACAGATTTGGAGATCCTTTTGTGATTGGCAAGTCTTATCGTGACAAGATTCAATCATGGCCTAAAATCACAGCCAAGGACTGTAAAGATTTACGTGAGTTTGCTGATTTCTTAACAAGTGTTGAATCAGCCATTCCATATGTCCAAGGTTTACAAGTTTTAAATGACTGTGTGGAAAATCAGAGAATAGCAGCAAAGTTACCTGATTGGTTAAGTGCACGTTGGAACAGGAAAGTTACAGAGTTCCAAGATGAACACAAAATGTTTCCTGACTTCAGTCATTTTGTTAAATTTTTAAATAAAGAAGCAAGAATTGCATGCAACCCGATTACCTCACTACAGGCAATAAAGCCAACTGAATTTGATAACAAGCATCCATACAAAGACAAATCAAGAAGAAGTGGTACCCTGAGTGCTAAAACTCTTAACACAAGCTCAAATGAAAAGACATTTGTTACATGTCTCTTTTGTAAGAAACCTGGTCACACACTACATAAATGTCGAAAGATGATGGAAATATCAGTTGAAGAAAGAGTTAAGTTTGTGAAGGCTGAAAACCTGTGCTTTGGTTGCCTCAAGTATGGTCATAACTCTAAGAACTGTAAGTCTA